GAAAACAACCTATGCGGCCCGTTAGAGACATCTTGGCGAGCCGAGATCTCGATTATTTTAATTTAATTTATGTGTTTTTAAAACGGATCGATCTGAGGATTTAGTAGTTAGTGTCATCTTGTGTTCTCTCAAGTTGCTAGGTCTCCATCGGTGTACCCCCATGTTTGTCTTTTTCTCCAGTATGTCGCTTAGTTCTAGATCAAGAGCACATTGCCTTGTGTTCTCAATCCCTACCCTGCCACCCGTTTGTTACAATTTGTTACCCCTAACCTCGAGAAAGCCGCGAGTAATCGGCCCCCGCTTTACTAACGTTAGTTTTAAGTAATTTTGTACCCAAACGATGAATATCGGCTCCGCAAAGCTACGGCAAATGAGCCTGGAAAAATAAACGCATTATAAAAAAAAAAAAAAGACTAGAACGCGCAAAAATTGGTCGAGAAAAAAATCGTTTCTTTCAGTCAAAATTCACATCACAAAAATCTTCTTATTTTTCTTTTGGTAGTTCAATTCATATATTTAAAGGAAAAAATGTTCGTTTATTCTTTTGGTTTGCCAAATCCAAACTGCCGTACCTTCCGCTTAACTCTTTCCATTAAATTTTGCACAGTGGTTGCATCGACCTTATTTGCCGCCGAACGCCAGTTAGATTTAAACTACTGCTCGTTTTCCATGGATTTATTAGTTTTTTTTTTAGATTCCGTTCGACTAAGGCCTAATACCGTTCGATAGGGTGGAGTTCTGGGCTGTTGGGAGGTTTGTGGGCTTTGGGTACCACAACCACGTTGTTCGCATCGTACCACTCGATTGCCTTTATCCCAAAGTGGTAGCTCGCCAAGTCCGGCCAGAACAGCACAGGTCTATTATATTGCTTTAGGAATGGTAGCAGCCGCTTATCCAGACACTCCTGGACGTAGATCTCTTGATTAATGGTTCCCGTAGTAATGAAAATGACGCTTTTTAGACCACACGTGCATATGGCCTGCCAAACGAGATATTTTTTCGGGAACTTCAATAGTTTGATGGTTTTGAAAATTTCAGCCACCTTCTCTTTTCCTGATGCGGAAGCTGCTTGAAATCCGCCTTCACATAAGTTTCGTCGTCCATAACGACACATTTGAACTTTGTGAGCAGATTCGTATACAGCTTTCGGAGCCGCTGCTTTGCCGACGTGTTTTGTTTATAATCTCGGTTCACCACCTTCACCTTCTTAAACGTCGACAACCCGGCTCGTTTTTTGGCCCGCTGCACAGTAGTATGGGAGACATTGAGCTTACCAGCGACGTCACGGATGGAGAGGTTAGGATTCCGCTTATATTTCACCGCCACCTTCTTTGTCGTCGCTGCCACGTCCGGATTACGATTGCCGTCGCTTCCAGGCTTCCTGGTGGTCGACAGACGCTTCTCGAACACTTTTAAAACGTTTGTCACGGTCGATTTGGCCACTTCCAGCAATTTTGCCAACTTGGCGTGTGAGAACGTCGGATTCTCTTGCTTTGGACACGCTGCTCCTCTTGCTTGGACGTCAATTTGAACACTGGAGAGCAAACGGTGAAAACTCATCATAGCAACCATTGTAAATATGTACACTCAACTTCCAAATGCAGCATTTCAGGTTTTTTTTTAATGTATTTTCAACAGAAATACACCAATTTTAAGTTGACAAATTTTTGCGCGTTCCAGACTTTATATAGGATGTTACTGTGCAATATGAGTTTTTTCCGGAACAGGGGTGACGTGTAGAGGCTGGCTATAGATATTACACGACATTTTGAAATCCAAGATAGCGACCATCGGTTTTAGAAATATGTACTATCAAACACTCTACAATATGGGTATTTTCTGAGCGGGGACGGTGAGGAGAGGTCAACTTTGGAATCCGGTTTATGAAATACTGTCAAAGACCCACCAATATCGGTGTTTTAAAAACGAGGACGATGTGTAGAGGTCAAAAAATTCGCCGTTATTTTGGAAAGCAAGTTTTTGAAGCAAAAAAATCGTCAACCGTCATCGGTTCAAGAAATATTGTCAAATTCCTAACAATATGGGTATTTCCGGAACGAGGACGACGTAGATGTCAAAGTTCGATATTCGCCGCCATGTTGAAATCCAATATGATGCTCACTGGTTTTTGAAAAAAAAAACTATCAAATACCCAAGGGGTAGGTCACTCCGCGCACCAATCTTGGGTCATCTTTTTTGTCAGTGTGCCGTAGGTATGCCGCAGGTGTACCGATTGTGCTGGTCATAGAGCAAGCTGCGATTGTTTGTAAAATATCCATCCCGGCAGCCCGGTATTTCTGACACCTTGAATGTTTTGGTTTGAAATCGCAAGGATAAATCGGATAGAGGATGACGCGGGAACTGGCGGGTGTGTGAAATTTTGTGTTCATAGGATAGTAAAAGTCCTGTGATTTAGGGTTTTATAATGCCCTCAAAGGCAGGCTAGAAACCTAGCCTTTCGTGATGTGAAAACCATCGGTCTATCAGCGGCCGGAAAGAGTGGGAACCGGAGTTGCAGCATTATTTGAATCAATGATACAAATGGGGTCTGATTAACTGTCTCTTTCTCTTGAGCCCATTCTAGAACCTAAATTTCGTGTTTAGATCTATAGGTGAACCGAGAAGTGATATACTGGTCTGAGTTCCTCTGGTATATATTCAATTAGAGGATGCGCCTGAATATACAGTCAAATAGCACATAATGTTGTGTTTAGAGATGAACTAGCCTAAGGCTAAAAATCTCTTTAATAAAGAATTAAAAAAAAAACGTAATGTTGTGAACAACTTCAATGACAGTTGTTAGCAGTGCCCCCATTTTATTTACAACAATCCAATGCCTACGAGATTGTGCCGAAGGTGTATCGATGGATGTGTCCAAGTTGTGCCGAATCTAATTTCGGCACAATGTGCTGAGTGACTTACCCCTTGCAAATACCCTACAATATGGATACTTTCGGAACGGGGACAACGTGTAGAGCTTGAAAATCTATTTCCACCACCAATTTTTAATCCGATATGGCGGCAATCGGTTTAAGAAAAAAAAAACTGTCAAATCCAGATGAATCTAGATTTTGGCATGCATTGATTAAGGCATACGTCGATTTCAATAAATGTGTTCATATTTACCAGGGGGAGTCACGAATACCAGTTTGGTTTACCTTGTAGATTCATTACAACCTATCGGCGCAAATTTTATTAAATCCTTTTTTTTTAATATACTCACAAATTCCTAAAAATTTTACAATTGCTTCCAAAGTGGTCAAGTACAACTCAAAACAATTAAAATACAGCCTTCGACATTTCGCCATTTTAACACACGTCGGAAAAATCTGATTTTCAATTTTCTGGAAATATGCTACAACCTCATGTTTCAATAGTTTTTCAACAAAATTCATATAAGGGTTGATTCTTATAGTTAAGCCATTCTAACTCGTCGAAAAAGATCTCGATTCTGGCAACATAGATGAAACAGTTGTGTTGCCAAAATCGAAATCAATCTGTACCGTACAATATGGGTATTCTTGGAACGACGATGACGTGTCATGTCAAAATTCGATGTTGGGTGCCATTTTTGATCGTGGATACGGTCTTAGAAAACAAACTGTCAAATCATGAGCAACATGTGAAAAGGGCATACAAGCTTTTTGTACACAAACCTTCTTATGCCCTTTTCTCGCCACCCATATGACATCAACGCAAACCATTAACATTAGCGGGTAGGGGAAACTTTCCCCTTCCCAATGATGTTGTTGGTTTGCGTGGGCGATCCTCGGTTGGCGAGAAAAGGGCATACAAAGGTTTGTTTACAAAAAGCTTGCATACTCTTTTCACATGTGGCTCTTGAAATACCCTACAATAGGGTATTTTCCGATGTGTACTGGTCGAATATCGATGTCCGCCGCCAATTTCGAGGTGGAGGCAGGGTGACCAGCAAGTCTCGATTTGAAATTTCCCGGATGTGCGATATACAAATAAACGAAATTGGTGAATCAAGCTTTCTTCTCATTTTCGAGTGATGTAGGGCAAAGGTCGACTTCTGCACCCATTGACTGTTTTAGACAACCACAATTTAAACGTTAATTTCACTGTATATTCTCATCAAAACACTTCGCTGAATGTATTCACACGATTCCTAAGTATCTTTCAGCTTCAATCTGATTTCAGTTTTACGACTGAGCAATCCCGTTGGGTCATATTTTGCTTTAAATTAATTATACGCATCACAAAGTACGGCTGATTTCGAGTTGCCGATAATAGAACAGCTGATTAACATGGAGTTCAAATGGGGAGGTTGCCGAAGAAAAAGAGGCAATAGTCACACTCACCTGAGAAATTTCTAGCGTTGTAAAATCGCTTTCAATCAGTTTCGGACAATTCTGTCGATTGAACTGCAGCAGATAAATGTATACAAACAAACACGTCGCATAAATTCCAGAACAACATGTGAAAAGGGCATACAAGCTTTTTGTAAACATTTAAACATTTAAACATTTAATGTGCGTGACGTTGAGAAAATGCTAATAGAAGCGCGGATGCACTGATTTTGCGGGATTCTAGGATATCAACTCGTAAAGGTGACTACTCAAGTAACAATTTTAGTTTTATGAGGGTATTGTAGTCCGTTATTTAAACTAGTAGAATGCTTTAACAGCTTGATAAAACTTGCAATGTTGCTTGGGTACCCACACAAAACGTGGATAGATTTTTGTATGACATAAATCTTCTATGATTGAAGGTTCCTTTTTTTCTGAAAATAAATTTCATCAATATTTATCGAATCATAAACCCTCGAATCAATTCCCCGGGTATTATGAGCGCGAGAAAGATCCGGTTAGCGTAAGTTTATTTCCCCTCGAAATGAAAATATTTTCCCACCGAAATTAAACCGAAACAGCACCGTATCGTAAATCGTAAACTACTCGCGAACGTACATCCTCAGTTTTGTTATTGTTTTGTTTGCAATTCCACCCGATTGCTAGCAAAACACAAACATGCGATCCCAAGATTTCATCACGATTTCAGATCCCGAACCGCAGTAAGCGATTGTGGGAATTTTCAGTCGATCAATTTGACAGCCAACCATGGCGGAAAGCAACCCGAACGATTCCACTTATCTCACCAACAACACCACCAGCGAGTACCGTTCGACGACTTCTGAGTCAACCATCCTTCCGTACTACGAACTACGGCTTCCAACACACGTGTTCAACAAGTCCCCCTCCAAGATCGAGTTCCAGCTGGTTCAGAAGCAACGTCCCAAATCGCGCAAAAACATCTACACTCGGTACCAGGGCAGATCCCAATCCGATGCCAAACCGAAGCCCAGGAAAGGTCTCAAACGGGTGTTCTTCAACTTCAATCGGAAGCATTGCCCCAGCGAACCACATTGCTCCGAACGCAATCAAGATGACGACCAAGCTGACCAGCAGTTCGAGAACATGGAGATCTACTACTTTGACCACGGAAGTCCGGAGTTCTACCGCACCACCGACTGCCCGCCGCATTTGATCACGGAAGCTCTGGCCCAATCGACCCATCACCACGCAACCAAATTCTGGGCGGAGATCTTCGGAACCATCAACATCGGAACGACGTTCGTCATCAGCTTCTGGCTGCAGCTGTACCGGTTCTTGCTTTATGGCATTCTCAGATCGATCATCGTCGGAATCCTACAGATAACGGCAGATTACCTGCTGAAACCGTTGCTGGCGGTCGTGTTCAATGGGTTGATTCAACCTCCGCTTGTTTTCGGGCAGAACATTCTAACCGCCGTCGGTTCCATGCTGGAACCGATTGCGAACCTAATTGGTAATTTCCTGCAACCGGTGGGGCGGTTGCTACGATCGTTGCGATTCATAGAAAACAAAACAATCAACAAGAAAATTATCAAGAAGGGGCGCTTCGATGTTTGAATTTTGTGCGAATCGATTTTTCCACCGAGACATTATTTCTATGATTTATTTTGCTGAATAATAAACAATGAAAACTAACAATATTTTCCTTTTTTTTTCTTTGTACAGAAACATCCTACACGTATGCACAATTTCAGAAAACGGGTAAACTCACAGCTCCGGCTACGGTGATACCTCGTTTTAGGAAATACAACGTTGATGATTTCCATTTTTTGACTGTGTTAGGAAAGGGTAGTTTTGGAAAGGTCAGTAAATGGTTCGAATTTTCCTGCTTCTGGTACACGGACAACTAATTTCCTCATTCCATCGCATGTTCGCAGGTATTTTTAGCTGAGCTAAGGAACACAGAGTACTATTACGCGGTGAAATGCCTGAAGAAGGACGTCGTGCTGGAGGACGACGACGTGGACTGCACGCTGATCGAGCGGAAGGTGCTAGCACTCGGCACGAAGCATCCATTTTTGTGCCACCTGTTTTGTACGTTTCAAACAGATGTAAGTATTGGACGAAGTTTTAATTGATTTTGAATGGTAATTACGGGTGCGAAATGTGTATAAAGCAATTTGAAATTGTAACGAAGATCGTCTATTATTCGATCGTAATGAAAGGAAGGCAGTTAGGTAGCTTCTTTTAACGAAATGTGTGCTGAAACTACCTGGGAATGTCTTTACATGGCCGTGGGAATACAAAGAGAAAGTCGACGAAGAGAATCTGTCAGTGTTTCTTAGGACCTAATACAATATTCAGCTTGATTTGTCGATTCAATGTTGGAGTCGGTAAAGTAGAAGTCGATAAAGTAGAATATTGAAGAGCATTGAACTACGATGTGCAAAGCTATTGATATCACCATGTGAGGCACATAGACCCCACGTGTGTCACAATTCGAACCAATAGTGTTCAGGCATGGTTCAAAGCATAAGATTCACACATGAAATGGATGTGTTTCACAATTAGTGCAAAATTAAGTGTGAGACACATGATGATGGCGTGTGAAATTTTTTGAGTGTATGTATTACAATTGAGGGAAGGGTTAAGTGACTTTGATCGATTCTCTTCATCGACTTTCTCTCTCGTTAAGGGAAGGTCCATTAATTAACCACTTTATTCGAGCAATTAAAATACTACTCGAACATTGAAATTAAACATTATTTTGAGATTTATTCTTCTAGAACCTCGAGAAAAGTAGCCAACATTTGCGCGTTTCATAAAAAAAATAGAAATTATTTGGTCCAGTTTTGTGAAATCGCTGGTAGAAAGTCTCGCCAAAACTGCTTGACAAAGTGGTCAATTATGTCTAAATTTGACCCTTTTTCAACCCCCCCTCCCTCGCCCTTTTGTCACATTTTTTGTATGGACCTTACATTTTTTATGGCTTATCACAGTTGCCAAAACCCTCCCTCCCCCCTAAAAGTGTGACATGATTAATGAACGATCCCTAATAATTCAGCTGCAAACACATTCCTTGATTCGTGTGCCATTCTGGATGGTTTATCAAACTATGTGGCAAACCTGTGGCTATCAAAAGAGAAAGTCGATAAAAAGAATCGATCAAAGTCATTTTCACCCCTTTCCTTCTAAACCCTCAATTAAGTTTGCCAACATATTTTATTAGCACAAGAATAGCTCCTGATTTAAAGAAGGGTCAGCTTCAAGTAAAAAATACTGTGTGAGCATTTAAATTGAATGTTTCTTGAAAAGATGTCTTTCAAAGAACTGCTCATGATTTAAAGAGAGAAATTATTTGTGAGCATTTCTATTGAATTATTGAACCTGATTTAACTGTCAAAGCACAGCTCATAATATAATGAAGGAATCAACTCCAAGAAATTATCAAACTATTTTACCTGTCAAAGCACAGCTCGTGCTATAAAGAAGGAGACAACTCCGAGAAAGAAATCATTTTGAGCATTCCGATTGTGTTTGTCAAAGAACAGAACATGATATAAAGCATTAATCAATTCCAAGAGAAAAATTATTGAATGAAATACAACAAAATTATGGTTAACGCAAGGGGTGGTCACTCTACACACGTATTTTGCGCCAATTTTTTTCTCAGTGTGCCGCAGCTGTGCCGGAAATGCCGAGAGTGTCATCAGACTGATTTTTTTGTTTGTATAATGGTTTGTTTGGCAACCCGGTTAATTTGACAGTTCACATGTTTTATTTTGAAGAAACAAAACAACAAGCGGTGGAATCCTATCCCAGATCCTAACTGTCGTTGACTCCCGGTTCGTTGCTCCCAAATTCTATCGGAAAAGGACTACACTGAACCTAATAAGCAACGGCCTCGGCCACCGAATCGAAGCAACGAACGAGAACGTTCTCCGGGGGAGGCATTTCCATTTTCCGATAGGACAATAACTTCTGCTGGATTGGAGTATGATGAGGACTTGGATGAACCACAGGTGAAGGTGATAAGTAGACGAAGCGAGCGTGCATCATCAGAGAAAACTGGTCCAGATGCTCTTCAGGTTCTGATGAATGCTTCCGGGAGGAGTTTCTCCCGAAAGCCATCGACTCAGTGGGAGTTTCAACCGGAATCAAACTTCCGGTCTAATATGGAGAGAAGTATGATGTCTCTGGCAAAAAGCAGTGCCGGCCAGAGAACACCTGTAAAAGCTGCGGTGATGTAGATGATAGGATAGCAAATACCGGTGAAGATTCTACCTCCGAATGTCGGTTGGCTGATCAACAAAGTGGTGAAGCGTTACGGAATCAAACATGGTAAACGACCACTGATTAAACTACTACTACCGGGACTTCTTCTCCGCCAAGCCTATGAATATTTTATTTCAAGCGCTGGGTTACCAGGGTCGGGTCTGAGAGCTAAACCTATCCTTCAACCAACTCACCGATGTCAACTTTCAGGAGCTCTCCTTCAAGCCCAACAACTAACCAATCAACATCTTACAATTCCGTTTAACCTCCTTCGGCTGTGATTTCAGCTCCGACACGAATCTCCCCACCTCAAATTGATCTACCAACTTCTTCAACGTTCCCTTCACTTCCTCCTTCAGAATCTCGCTCTCTCCACTAACCAACCACATTCCGAATCGGCATTATGACCAGTAGCAGTTCCTTCATGATCATATTTTCAAGCAGCTTCCGGAACGATGCCATCCCCTTCCCAGCTTCGATTCAAACTGTTCTGAAACACCAAAGCCTTCCTTGAACATTTAGATCGTCTTGAGTGGAGGATCTCCGATTTCGAAGTCTTCGTGAGGAATCCATGGTTAAACTTCGCCGGAAATTCACGGTTGAAGTTATGATATCAAAAATTGGATTGTGTCAACAACAAAGTTTATCATATTGACACATGCACAGAGCAGGCGCAGATATAGTACAGTGTTGCAAGTAACTTTAAATATCATGAACATTTATAACCATGGGTACCAATGAAAGTTCCCAGGTGTGCCCATCTGTATTTTTGACACACTGTGCGAAGTGACCAACCCCTTAGGTTAACGTCTATTATGGCTATCATACATTATGGCTACCGTCTATTATCAAGGGGTAGGTCACTTCGCACAGTGTGCTGTTTTGCACACATAGTTTGAAATATTAATGATCTTTAAAATTACTGGCAACACTGTTTTATACCTGCGCCCGCGCAGTGCGCATATGTCAAAATTTGATTTAATTCTTGTTTTTTGACAACAATTTATTAAACCGTGACCATGAATTTCCGTCAAGGCTCGCCATGGATTCCCCCCAGTACACATCCTAATCCCAATTATATTCCACAAAAGATTCAGCCAGCGTTCACACATTCAAACCACCAAAATCAGGGTAATCGCTAAAATCATCAAAAACAACTGGCTACGGACTAATACCCGGAAGGTCAATGATAAAATCAAAACATTCTGTCTATCAGGACCAAGACCAGGACGTTTCTAGCTGCTCATCGTTAAACTGAACTGTTATTATCCGTCTGATCATTTCTCACCCCGACGGCGGCTGGTACTGCCGAGACTAAAATTGCTCTCTAGAAGTTGGTTTTAAAAGTCATCACATTCCTCTATTTTGTATATTCCGTCCGGACGGGCCTGGTGGACTCCACTACTGCTCTGTAGTGTGTTTCGGTCTCTCCCCATGTCCGATGGCGTGAGCGCGCGTTCCAATAATTGCAACATCAGCAGTACATTTCCCCGGCGGCTGTAGATTTCGAAGGCGGCTGTAGTTTTGCCGAGTATCTGCACCGGACGGTGAAACTTTATCGCCTCCACGAGGTCGAATCAGGTTATCCGGAATTAGCTTCTGCAACCGAGGTGCCTCTGTATCATTGTCTTGTTTCGGATTCCACTGCTTTTATTCTCGCAGATCGATTCCACTACTTGTTATTTTTTCCATCAAAACAAAATATTTACACTGTCAAAATACCGGGTTGCCAAACATGCCATTATTCACAAGCAATCTATGTCAGTTCAATGACTGGCACTCTCGGCTCTGCCGGTACAGCTGCGGTACACATGAGGCACACTGAAAATACAAATTACACAAAATTAGTGTATGAAGTATGGCCACCCCTCGGGCCACCCCTTATCTATTATGCCCAACGTATATTCTGGCAATCATCTTTATGACAATCAGGGTTACTTCCACTCACTTGCTATAAAAAATTGTGTTTCCGAATTATGATAATGATAATTAGTACTTGTAAGTTACAAGAAGAGGTCGTGAAGTATCTGTTTGACACATTAAACCTGTCAATATTGCTTTCAGTGCGTCACAATCAGCGATTTAACGACTCGTGAGCGCTCACTCAGAGTGAACGCTCGCGAATCATAAGATGGTCGATTGTGACGCTCTGAAAGCGAAATTGACAGGTTTTATGAGTCAAACACATTCTTTACACCCTTTTCTTGTTGGTTACAAGTACAACATATCATTATATCATTTTATGATCTCATAAATTAGAAAACCATTGTTTTATAGCAAGTGAGTGGAAGCAACCCTGATGACAATCGTACGAATGGCAACCATCCCTATGGCTAACATATGTATGGCTGTTGTGCGGTCATCTAGAAAACTATAACTAAATGGGGGATAATTTCAAGAAAACTACGATTAACTCATTTCGTCAAAACAACTTCAAGATAAGAATTCCAAAAGCTACTCGTCCAGAGCAACGGGGTTGCATTGACTTCTCGCCCCAAGATCTCACTAATACCAACAATCAATACGAAACTAACGATTTTAAGTTGGCTCACTACTTGACTAGCCTATTGGTCCCAAGCAAATCGATTAACGTACCCCATTCTAGTCGAAATTCCAGTACTACACTATGCATGCTTTGATTCGCTATGAAAGTTTGACCGATAAAATGAGGGGTTCGTGAATTTTCCTATGTTTCAAGGGGTGCATCGATTAGCTTGGGACCGAAGATAGTACCAGAGCTGAGCCAAAAAGTTAAGTTCGTTTCTTCGGGACCTTCTAGTCTTAGAGTTACCTCTATACTAATACCATAGAGGTAACTCTAAACCTAGTAGGTCCC